ATTATCATGTCTAATTAAATATTTTGATCCACTGTAGTTCTTCTAGTCATCATCGAGTAAAAACACATTGATCTAATGATAAAAGTTACTATTTCCATATTTAATAGTCATCTTGCATTAAATTTGAGAAGCAATGAAGTCATTGTATCACCTACTCTGTAGATATTCAACACTCAGCCTCTAATTGTATTTAGAACTGAAGCACTCTGTAATTTGAACTAATGCATACTTCAGAACGATCATTCTTATAGAAATGTTAAGATAAGGGAAATCATCTTTAATTAAATGCATTCAAGCATCATAAGCACACACCACAGAGCAAAGTACCTTCTGATTAGAATAAATAGACAGAAAGCATACAAAAGACAATTTTAGAATGCTTATTTCTATTGGGCAGAAGTGAAGAGTAATTCCAGAGGAAAGGCAATGGATCAATACATTTATCTATTAGATGAAAGTACATGGTCATTAATGGTTTACGAAGATGGCTTGGAAAAGTAACAGGATCTAAGAATACAGGAAAATGTTCAAAGCTGTCATTAGCCTGATGAGTACTAGAAACTGAGTGGACAAATAATTCTTGATGTTGTCTACCATTTCTCTTTTTAATCATTTGCCCTTCTTATTTTGTTGCACTGTCACCCTGCAGCAAAATCTTTTGTTTGACTGATTGTCAGTTCTGAAGCAAAGACACATCCAACTCAAAACATCAGCTTGGTTTCTCTCTCCATTGATGCTGCGACAGCTGCTGAGTTTCTCCATCAATTTATTTTTATTTCAGATTATCAGCATCTGTAGTATTTTACTTCTAATCTATATGATGCAGTTTTGAACTGTCTAATAGTAACGAAAAGTACTAGAAGAATACCATAGTTTTCTTATTGACCAACAACCAGGCCATTTGGCCAGAACTACAGAAAACAAATCAAACATTCTTAGTCGTGTATTACCCAATAGGGTCAGTCTTTTCTGGGCATTGTCATTTTAAATATGCAGAGATTTAAGATACCATTTGTGTCCCAGCAATAGAAGACATTTCTAATCCCTAACATTGGAACTGAAAATGTTGTGGAAGTAGACTCGATGGTTTTAAAAAGGCGGTTTGATCTAATTGGATATTCACTGTCAAAGGGGGAATTTGGATCAATTTTAATTGATTGTTTTGCCCTCTTGAGCATGAGACAATGACCTGTTGATTAATCTACTCCATTTTTAATTTCCCTCCCTTACAGAGGGAGGCTGAAGCATGTTCCCCAAACTATGGTTTTTGGGTTCCAGTCTTTGAAATAAACTCACAGTGAAATCCTTTATACTTGAGTTTATTAACAACACATTCAGGGAAATAGTGTGTGTATGTAGTAGGGAAGCAAATATTCAGGAAAAGAAGGAAGAGATGGCAGGAGCAGAAAGGGTATAAATTACAAGCTTCAGTAAATCACAAGGTGTTAAAAATTAGTTTACATGAGTTACAACTTCCAAGAAGTCACTGTGCAACAGTAGTTTTGTTGTTGAGCTGCACCCAGCAGTTTTCCTTCTTGCAGGTTTTGGGTACACTTCTCTCCACTGAGCATCTTGAAGACAGAGATGGAGGGTCCAAAGCAGGCTGTCTTGAGTCCTACTTTCCCTTTGGAGGGGTCAAGCAGCAACTGACTTAGAATCCCACAACAATAGATTCAAGCAACTCAACAAACTCAGATTTCAATCATTCGAGAAAGACAGGCATTTCAGCTGTTGAGGGCCTATCTTGATAGACTCAGAAGGCTGTTAAGCTAACTTCCTTGGAGTTTCTATTGTGAGACAACTATAAAAGCATTAGCATGCACTTCAGCAAAATTGGTCTTTGTGTTTGCCCTTGTCCAGACCTGGCTTAAGGCAGGTAGTTCATCTCCAGGCCTTTTGTGTCAACTTTAGAATGGAATGCCTCTCCAAGCAAGTGATCAGAAGCTTCTTGAATATGATCAGGAAATCTGCCTCAGCAATTTTAAGGACAGCAAGATCATCCATTTTTGAAAGAAACAGAATTAGAACATAAAATAAAGAGGCTACTACTTTTATTTTCCCTTCAGGATTTCTCTTCCTATCTTCTGACCATTACACTTTAAATAAACTCCAATGCATTACTTAACCTTACTAATTGACACAAAATCTTTCTGAACTGAATTTAACTGAGAGATGTCATGCCTACTTGTGATATTTAGGAGATATTTGTCGAAGCCTGATACAAAGAAACAACATTGAAACTTTCCCAGGCAATATCTGTCATGCACAATTGGTATACATCAGCAACAATGAATATTAAAAACAAACTGGACTGGTAAGTGCAGAAATCATGAACAGAACAAATAAAAATTGTGGGGAGTTATTTTTAAGTAGCTTCTGCTGAGTGAACTAAACTCACAATCAATCATTCCATGGAGACTGTTTTACCAGATTCCTTCAAAACGTAGCTGCTGTGAAATGAAGCAATTTTCAATAATAGACTCATTTCCAGACTTAATGCAACTATACATGCATATATTATATGCTTCATTGGCGCAAGCTACACGAATCAAGTAATGACCGTTCAATAAAAAGGCAGGCTACTCATCAGTGGCATTTATGGTAATGAGCCATGGGGAATGCCTACTTAAAAAGAGAGTGCTTACTTCATGTTGTTGCAGTTCCTGTGGTGCATACTTGGTAAATACTGCCTCCATACAAAATATAAATACTTTTGTTTCCTGTGTTTCCATTGTTAATATATTACCAATTCTATTTTCAAATTTAGGATCAAGAGTGGGCCATTTAACTCATCGAGCCAATTGTCATTCTAAGAGATCATTCATTTGCTTTGTCTCAGAATTTTGCTAACCAAACGTATCTCAGACTGTCAATATTAGTTTTGAACATTAATTGACATTTGTGGAAATTAGTTTCAACTTCTACTGCCCTTTGCCTGATGGAGTGTTTCCTAATTTCACTTCTGAAAGGACTGACTCAAATTTTCATATCATGTAGACTCAGACCCCTCAACTAGAGAAAGTTGCTTCTCCCAATGTACCTTATCAAGTGCCCTCAATATCTTAGTAACAGTGCCATTACACAAGGGCATAACCTCATAATCCAGATGCTTTGTTAAGAGAGATTTGCCTAAAGAGGAGCTGTCTTTTTCTCCATGCTCTTACACTACAGGTCACTAAAAACCAGAACTTGCCCACTCTTCCCTTCTTCACACAACTATCACAGCTTGGTACTGGATCACATATCGCAGGCTGATCTATTGACGTGCATTCCCCAAACTCGAGTTACTCTGGAATGAGTCATCTGGTGTGAGTGAAAGGTATCAAATCTGATCAGCAGCTTACCTCAAGCTGGAAAGAAAAGACATTTAACTGGGGGGAAAGACTGTAGCTTGTAATACTTATAGAATTCAGGCAATTAAAGCAACTGCAATGCTATGAAAATGAAAGGATGTCACAATAATAAATTGATTATTCTAATATCTGGTTCAGAGCATTCTGTCCAAAGGAGATACTGACTTAAATGACTGATTTATCAAATACACTCTTACATAACGTGCAATAATAATTATTACATTTGAAAACATGGTTGAGAACAGTCTTGGTACACAGGTCCTAAAATGCACTGCTTGGGGGATTCAACTGATGCATTCAAAGGGAGTTTGAGTGTTATTTGAAAAGCAAGTGTCCAGGGTTACACAGACAATGTGAGAAAATGGCAATAAATGAAGTGCCCATTCAAAGAACCAATACAGACGTAATGGGCCAAAAGGATTAATTAAAAAAAACATCCTTTGTATTTTTCAGCATAGTCCGAAAAGGCTACATTCAGGGTGAAGTTAGCAATCCTTTCTGCTGTTTCCAGAATTGACGTAATGATGCAAAACTGCTCTCTAGTTCTCAATGCTATACCCCTGAACATACTCCCATATTATGCACACAGTAACTCAATTAATTTTTTTACTACTAATAATTTTGGGATGAAGATCAAGAATTCATTAATGAAAACTCCACAAGTGTGGGCTGCAATGAGTAGCTTGTCAAATTTTTCCTTTCTATCATTAATAGCCATCCACAATAATATTCTAAATCAGGAACATACAATTGAAGCTTGGGCCCACTAGGTTTTCAGACCAGCCAAAAATCTACATTGTACTCAATGCATTAATTTATCAAGCCAAATGAATGCACGAAAATTAACAATAGCCTTTTTGATCAAGAATGGATGTACACAATTTGTATTGAATGTAATAATAGATCAAATAGAGGGCTGAATTATTCTTTTCTAAATCATTGTGATCTCTATTAGCCTATCAGCTTTCAAATAACAGATCAAAGATCAACGTTAAAAATATAAAAGATGAAATCACAACTGGAGGAACTGGAATGTGGTTCAGAGTAGCAATGCAGGTTAGATCCCAATTCACCCGATGAAGGCTTGGGACCTACCTCCTCACCCCTCCCCCAAAAGGAGAAGGCAATGACAAATTGACACTTTTATCAGTGTCAAGAACACTGCTTGAGATGAAGCATCTGCAGATAATGTGCCATACAACCTGCTCTAGGATGAGAACACAAGAATAAGTGAATTGGTAAATTTGTGGGGCTCTTTTCTGTCAAAAACTGAAAAGACAGATACTCAGGCTTGCTGACTCTTCTCATCAAAGCTAAACCAATGGAAAAGCATTACTTGCTGGAGGTCAAGATTATACATTATGCCAAATACATGCCATTTTGATGAAGAATGCCACCTGAAATAGTACATTGTCCTTCTCTTTTAGTTACTGACTACATTTCCTGCATTTTAAGATTTGTCTTTCAGATTTATTATATTCATTACTCTTTGCTTCAGTGCAAGGTTAGTGGTCTCCAACTCGTTCACATTCAGGCAGTAAACAAATAAATACATCACTTCTGAAATTTGTGAAGGAAGAAATAACCTCAATAGTAGTTTATCATATGGTGGAGCGCAAAGTTAAAAAAAAAAAATGCTTGATGAACTCAGGCTTTAGTTCAGTTTATTAACCGAACACAAGTTGACAGCATCATTCATAAATTCAGATTAATACCAGTCTTATTACTCGAATGCAGGGTTGTATCAAGACTTCCCTAACTCATGGATGCTTGTCATTCCTCCAAGTCACAGCAGATATTCTTTTCTGTTTTTGTAATTTCCAAGTTAAAATGTGCATCTTGAGGCAGGCTGATCTATTCACGTGAACTCCCCAAACTCGAGTTACTCTGGTGGAATGAGTCATCTGGTGTGAGTGAAAGGCATCAAGTCTGATCAGCAGCTCACCTCAAGCTGGAGAAAAACATTTAACTGGGGGGAAAAACTGCAGCTCATGGATGTAAGAATTCAGACAATTAATGCAACTGAAATGCTATGAAAATGAAAAGATGTCACAAATAATAAATTGATTACTCTAATATCTGGTTCAGAGCATTCTGTCCAAAGGAGATAACTGACTTAAATGAAAGATCTATCAAATACACTCTTACATAATGTTCAACAGTAAATATTACATATTTGAAAACACAGTTGAGTGCAGGCTGGGTACTCAGGGTCTGAAAGGCACTGCTTGGGAAGTTCAACTGATGTATTCAAAAGGAGTTTGAGTGTTATTTGGAAAGCAAGTGTCCAGGCTTACACAGAAATGGTGGGAAAATGGCAATAAATGAAGTGTCCATTCAAAGATCCAATACAGATGTGATGGGCCAAATGGCCTCTTGCTGTGCGATAGTCATTTGGTGATTCTGAGGATGTAATTTCAAAGATAAAATATCTTCTGCAGTTCACTTTTATTTTAATGAATTTCAGAATTCGTATCTTTTCAATACAGAAAACAAATGATACAAGGTTAAAATGTACTGATATCTTGCAATCGAGTACTTAATACCAAGTATTTTACAAAAGCTTTGTATAACACTTCGCAATTTCCTTGTATGAATTTTACTCAACAAGTCTACATTCTTAAGTTAATAGCAGCCCCTGCTTAAGGATTATATTACTTTTCAGCTCGATTCTTTACTAAATTACATTACAACATGTTATAGGCAGCACTGTTATAAGATTTTACAACATGCACTTTTAGACTTTTCTCTGCTTAAAGAGCTACCACTTAAATTAAAGGGAGTCCTACTGGAGATGCTCTTAAACGAATGCATATTGAATGTGGTAAGACATGGGGGTTAAAAATAATTGCGAAAATAAATATTGTTTTCTTCTGCAGGCAAAAGTTCTCTGGGTGACAAATGGTTAATGACTTCCAACTCGGTCCCTGGGAATAAGTCGCAATTCTGATCCATGCTTTAGGAAAATATTTCCTGTAATAAAAGAGCCATTATAAGAAAACTGGTTAGTAAAAGCATACAGAATGTTCTTAAAGTATTTATCTGACGTGACTACTTAAATTGTTTATGCTTCCTACATTTATGGAATATTGTGTGCATCTTAAAAGACAACCACAGTGTAAACAGAACAGCTAACTATTTCACAGACCTTCTTATTTTTCTATTCTAATTGTATTAAATAACTTGAACTTACTATGGTTTTGAAATGATACTGTAACACAACAAACATCAAACCTTACAAGCAAAAGGTAATTTTTTTACAAGAGTTCAAAGGAGCTATTAACCAATTCATGCATTACTATTCTATAATTTGAAGACCCATGTAATTATTTTCCATTACAAAATATGCAGAAAATATGCCATTAGACATAGGCCAGCAAAAGTTGTCCATTTAGTTCATTGAGTCTGCTTCATTATTCAATGAGATCATGACTGATCTGATAATCCTAAACTCCACTTGCCTGCCTTTATCCCATACCCCTCGATTCCCTTACTGATTAAAATATGTCTACCTCAGCTTTGAATATACCTAACGACCCAGCCCGGACAACCTTCTATGGCAAAGAATTCCACAGAATCACTCTGCTCAGAGAAGAATTTCCTCATCTCGGTCTTAAATGGGTGACACCTTACTCTGAGATTATGCTCTCTCATTCCAGCTCTTCCAGCAGGGTGAACAACGTCTCCGCATCTACCTTGTAAAGCCCCTGAGGAATCTTCCATGTTTCCATAGATTGCCGCTTGTTCTTCTAAACTCCCAATGAGTACAAGATCACCCTCACCTTATAAGAAATGCCCTCCATATTCAGAATCAACCCGCTGAACCTTCTCTGGAGTACCTCCAATGCCAGTATATCTTTCCTTAGATAAGGGACCCAAACCGTTCATGATGTTCTAGGTGCCATTCATTCATGCCTTGTAATGTTATAGCAAAACTTTATTTTCATAGTCCATTCCCTTTGAGATAAAAGCCAACATTTCACTTCACTTCCATATTACCTTCTGAACTTGTAACCTAGCTTTTTCTCATGTAGCCATTTTATAGAACAAATAAAGGGATCCCCACATTTGAGACAGGAAAGTCCATTCAGGGCTCCTTCAGAAATGCAGGGCTGCATTTTTATTTGGACAGTTTTTTTTTTGGGGGGGGGGGGGGCAGAGGGGGTGGAGTAAGGGGGGGCG